GTTTCACCAAACCACATCTATTCCCTGCAGGGATCAGCAGCAGACCACTGTCCACTACAGCCTGTGGGCTTTGACCTGTATGCAAAAGTATAGATATATATATATGTGTATATGTAGGTGCCTTTTTTTCAGCAAAGCCTGGTGGCTATTTTAGGTCAAGCCTGTAGGCTTCCTTTTGCAAGCTTAAACACTTTCTTGTTGAAGCCTGTTGGCTGTTGAGTCTTTAGCCTGTTGGCTTCTTCATGCAACTTTGGAGGTTGCTTGTGGAAGCCTGTTGGCTGTTTGGTCTTAAGCCTGTTGGCTCAATAGTCTTCAGCCTGTTGGCTTTTGGCCCAAGCAGGCTCCATTGTGTCCAGCCTGTTGGCTATAGTACAAAAAACCGGGTGGCTTTTCTGATGTGCCAACTCCTGCAGCAAACACTGTGGCCACCATTGAGCTCCTTGCTCAGCATTGGGGTTCAAAGCTGTTGCAGCCCTGCACCACAGACTAGTGACCTTGTAGGTGACATGACACACCTATGGAAGGTGCAGGATTTTGTCCTAGAGCTGGACAATTTGGGGAAGTTGCAAGCAGCTCGACCAGACAGCAAAGTCTGTGAGGCAATGCTGGACAACTTCTGCGCCAGGCTCTCTGCCATTCAAGAATGGACATCCCAGAATGTCTTGGAGATCATGGATAAGGTTGGCTCCATGGCTTTGCCTGAGACATGGAAAGACAAGATCCTGGAGCAGTTGGACCTGCTTGGCTCTCACATGCAAAGCCACCTGAGGCTTCAAGCTACACCTCAGAGAGAGTTAGCAATTTGGCAGCTTACTTGACAGAAGAGGAGTGGAGCAAGCTCAGCCAATGTAGCAACCATGAAGCAATGCAAGTGCTGGCCCAGAGAATGAAGCACCTTGGTATGGTGAGCTTGAAGGAGTCCAGCAAAAGGGATGCAATAGCTTTGCTCTTGCATATGCAAGTGGATGCGCAGCAGAAGCCAGAGCCTTCTAGCAAGATGGTGAAGTCTTTGGTGAATGACTTTGCAGACCTTTCAAGAGAATGCCTGCTCCACCAGGTGCACCTGCAAGCTTGCCAACATATCCACCAGATCCCACTGCTTTGCCAGCAGAGTTTCGCATGAAGGCATACCCTGGACAGCCACCAGCTAACAAGCAGGTCTCTTTGGGCATTTGGCTTCAAAAGGCAAGACTTTGCCAATCATAACAACTGCAAATTAGCAATCTGTGTTCTAGTCATTCATTTTCATTTTTGTTTTGGTCTACTGTTTCCCTCAGGTGATTCTGAGGAAGGGCCATTTGTCCCTGAAAGAACCAGAGGAGACTCCAAAGGCTGGATCGGTTGCAAGAGTGCCTGGTACAAGCTTGGAAACTCAACTCTTGGGCCTCTTGGAGAGGTGGGTCCAACCCTCTCAAGAGCCAAGGGTTGTTTACCTTAACCAAAGAAGAGCCAGCAATGACCAGCAAGTGGTTTCCTCAGAGAGCTTGTCTTCAGGCCATGAGCATGCAAGCCAGTTGGCTTTACCTGCACCTCCAAGCCCTTCGCCAAAGCCTCCTTTGCCTTTGCCTAGCACCCCTGCTGAGTCAGCAGTCAATAAGGAAGACTGCAAAATGGACAATGATTCCAACACAGCAGATTTGGCAAAGTTTGAGGAAGAAGCCTTCCAAGCCCTTGCAGCCAAGGCCAAGGCCAAGAAAGGGAAGGGATCACCAAGTGTTGGTTCCACAAAGCCAATGAAGAGACCAAGCGCTTGTCCCAAGGTCAAGAATGCACCTGCTAGAGCCAAGTTTGGCTGTCCAAGGTGCAGGGGAGCCTTGGGAGGTTGCTCAGCATGCATCCAGCCCACTTACAAGGGCATTCGCTTGGCTGGTAGGGAAGCTTGGAAGACTTGGTACGCTGCAAAGCAAGCAAAGTCCAAGTGATTTTTTTTTGAAGAAGGGCAAGAGCTGGCCACTGGTCTTTGAATGCTGCTGGTTGATGGTTAGCTATGTGGAGCTCATATGTGTATGACTTGGCATTTTGGGTGAGCAACTTGCCAAGTGGCATTGTTGTAGGGGTTGCCAAGACACAAGAGCGCCAGTTGGCTGTGAAGGCAAAAAGACAATTGTTAACTGCTGCAAATTTGTTGTGAACTTGTGTCAGCCTGTTGGCTTCTTTTTGTGTGCATGTGAACCTGCAAGCCTGAAGCCGGTTGGCTACAGCCTGTTGGCTTTTCCTGTTTGCTGTGCAATTTACCAAACCTTTAGTGGCTTCAATCTCTGAAATTTGTGGGCTCTAAGCTTCTCTGTGTAACAGCCAAACCAGAAACTATGAATGCATGCTGTTGCAGCACAGAAGCATACACAAGTTGTAATCGGTTACCCCGTAACAGAACTTCCCACATCATCTCATTGTGTTTTTGCAGTCGCATGT